TGTAATTTTCTTTTCTTGTCATGTAATGTCCTTGTCAGGTTTTGGCATCAAGATTATGCTGATCTCATAACATGATCTGGAAGTGTTCCCTCCTCCTGTGTGTTCTAATGGTGTTTGTACATGATTGGTATTGCTTCTTCTTGTTTGATAGACTCACCAGTGAAACTTATCTGAGCCTAGATTTTTGTCTGTGGGAAGAGGTTGATAAAAAATTTAATTTCTTTAATAAATATAGGGCTGTTCTGCTTCATCATGCCAATTTGGAAGGTTCTATTTTTTAAAGGATTTGTTCATTTCACCAACATTTTCTAATATGTTGACAAAACATTGTACATAATATTCCCTTAATAGACTTTTAATGGCCGTAGGATCTGTAGTAATGTCACCTCTTTCATTCCTGATATCGAAAATTTGTGTTTCTTCTCATTTTTTTTTCTTAGTTAGTCTTGTTAGGTGTATATTTTAACTTCCTTAAAAGAATTTTAGGTTTTTAAATTTTTTTTTATTCTTTATTTTCTATTTCATTGATATCTTCTTTAATCTTTTTTTTTTTTTTTTTGAGACAGAGTCTCACTGTGTTGCCCGGGCTAGAGTGCCGTGGCGTCATCCTAGCTCACAGCAACCTCAAACTCCTGGGCTCAAGCAATCCTTCCGCCTCAGCCTCCCAAGTAGCTGGGACCACAGGCATGCGCCACCATGCCCGGCTAATTTTTTCTGTATATTTTTAGTTGTCCGATTAATTTCTTTCTATTTTTAGTAGAGACAGGGTCTCGCTGTTGCTCAGGCTGGTTTCGAACTCCTGAGCTCAAACAATCCGCCCGCCTCAGCCTCCCAGAGTGCTAGGATTACAGGCATGAGCCACCGTGCCTGGCCGATATCTGCTTTAATCTTTATAATTTATTTCATTCTACTTACTTTGAGCTTAATTTGCATGCATTCCTTTTTCTAGCTTTTTTAAGGTGAAAACTTAAATAATTGATTTTAAACCTTTCTTGTTTTCCAATATGATCATTTAACATTATAAGTATTCCTCTAAGCATTATTTTAGCCGAATGCCACAAATCTTGATAGGTAGTGTTTCACTATTATTGATTTGAAAATATTTTATTTTTTCTTTTTTGTTTGTTTTCTTTGATATACTTTAGAAATGTGTTGTTTAGTTTTCAAATATTTTAGGACTTTTAAAGATATCTTGTTTTTGTTAGATTTCTAATTTAATTTCATTGAGGTAAGAGAATATAGTCTGTAAGATATTAGTGTTTTGAAATTTACCAAGATTTGTTTTATGGTGATGTTTTAGTGAACATCTTATACATACTTGAAAAGATTGTGAATTCCACAGTTGTTAGGTAGTACTTATAAATGTTAATTAGGTCAATATGGTTGAACGTGTTAAAGAGATATTCTACATATTGATTTTTTTGTTGTTGTTGTTTAGTAGATTTGTCCATTTCACCCTGTAAAATTTACAGTTCTGTAAATTTTATTCATGGATTTTTTTTTTTTTTTTAGACAGGGTCTCACTCTGTCACCTCAGCTAGAGTGCAGTGGCATCATCACAGCTCAAGGCAACCTCAAATTCCTGGGCTCAGAAATCCTCCTGCCTCAGTCTCCTGAGTAGCTGGGACTACAGGCGTATGCCACCACGCCCAGCTCATTTATCTATTTTATTTGCAGAAACAGGATCTTGCTTTTCCTCAGGCTACAGGCTGGTCTTGAACTCCTGACCTCAAGCAATCCTCCTGCCTCAGCTTCCCAGAGTGCTAAGATTAGAGGCATGAGTCACTGTGCCTAGCCTTGTTCATGTATTTTGAAGCTCTAAATGCATATACACTTAGGATTGTTATGTCTTTCTGATGACTTGACAAATTTTAATAATTTTGAAATATCCATATTTATCTCAGGTAATAGATCCCGTTTTGATGTTTGTCTGATATAGCCACTGTAGCTTTCTTATGTTCATTTTACATGACATATGTGCTTATATTCTTTTACTTTTAAATATCTGTAGTCTCTGTATTTAAAGGGTGCTTCTTATAGAAAGCATATAGTTTGGTTTTGTGTTTTTAACCTAGTCTAATAGTCTCTGTCTTTTAATTAATTAACCAATTAAACAAATTAGTTGATTAATTTAATTAGCGTTCGGTTCCCTATATTTAATGTAATAATTGATATAGTTAAGTTTAGGTCTGCAATTTTACTATCTGTTTTCTATTTGTCCAATCTTTTTATTTCCACTCTGTTTCTCCTTTTGGCTTTCTTTTGTGCTAAGTGGATATTTTTTAGTATTTCATTTACTTCAATTTTTATTTTTCCATTTAAATTTCAATAGGCTTCTTAGGTACCTTTTTGCATTGTATTTTCAATAATGGCTCTAGTGATTACATTCTTAACTTGTCACAGTCTACTGAAAGTCAATTTTGTACTATTTCAGGTAATATGAGAGAATCGTGAATACCTCCACTTACTCCACTCCTGTCCTTGGCGTTATTGTTTTAATATATTTTATTTCTACATATATCATAAATTCCACAATCCAGTGCCATAATTTTTGCCTTTAAAGGTCATTTGTTTTTTAAAGAAACTGAGAAGAAGAAATTTAGCCTTTTAAGAGCCACATATTTATCACTTACAATATTCTTCCTGTAAAATTGGAGGTTTATCTAGTGTTATTTTATAAAGAGTTTCTTTTAAGCATTTCATATAGTGCAGATCTACTGGTGACAGATTTTCTCAGTTTTTTAAAATCTGAAATTGTCTTTATTTCATCTTCTTATCTATTTGTTTATTTACTCATTGATTCATGTATTTATACATCCATACTTTATATTCTAAAATAATCATAGATCCTCAGGAGGTTGCAAAGATAGTATAGAGAGATCTGATGTACCTTTCACCCACTTTCCCCAATTGTCATATTTGTAAAATTATATAATAGTATGATGTCAAAACCAGGAATTTGACACTTATACAATGTGTGTCTAAGTCTATGTAATTTTATCACTTGTGTAAATTTCTGTAAACACTACCACAATCAAGATACAAAACTGTTTATCACCACAAAGATCTCCTTTGTGCTACCCCCTCCTATTTTTTCTAAATGTTTTATAGTTTTACTTTTTTACACTTAGCTTATAATCTATTTTGAGTTAGTTTCTGTATAAGGTTTGTTTTTGACTATGGATATTCAGTTGTTCCAGCATTTTTTATTTGAAAGACTATCCTTCCTCCTTTGAATTGCTTACACATCTTTGTTAAAAATTAGGTGGTTGTACTTACATTTCTGGGTTCTCTATTCTATTCATCTGTGTCTATCTCTCCATCAATACCACACAGTCTTGATTACTATAATTAGATAATATCTTGAAATTGGGCAGACTGATTCTTCCTACTTCATTTTTCTTTGAAATTGTTTTAGCTACTCTAGTTCATTTGCCTTTCCAAATAAGCTTTAGAATAACTGTATCCATGTCTATGTAAATATTGCTGAGATTTTGATTGGGATTATATTAAATCTGTATATAAATTAAAGGAGAATTGACATCTTTACTATGCTGAGTCTTCCAGTCTATGAATATGGACTATTTTTCATTTCATGTATTTATATCTTCTTTGATTGCCTTCATCAACTGTCTTGTAATTTTCATTGTACAAGTCCTGTGCATGTTTTGTTAGATTTACACCTAGGTATTTAATTTTTTTGAGCAGTTGTAAATGGTATTTTATTTTAAATTTTGGTTTCCACATATTTATTGCTAGTACGTAGAAATATGATCATTTTTGCATGTTAATCTTCTATCCTGTGATCTTGCTGAACTCACTTATTAGTTCTAAGAGGGTTTTTTTTTTTTGGTGGGCGGTAGACTCCAAGGAATTTCTAGATAGACTATGTGTCATCTGCAAATAGGGAAAGTTTATTTTTTCCTTTCCAATCTATATTCCTTGTATTTCCTTTTCTTGCCTTGTTGTGCTGGCTAGAACTTCCAGTACTATGTTGAATAGAAATGGTAAGAGTGGATGTTCTTACACTTAGGGGAAAGCTTTCAGTCTTTCACCACTAAGTATAATGTTAACTGTAGGTTTTCTATATATTTTTAAAAAAATCAAATTAGGAAGGTCCCCTATATTTTTATTAATCTATTTTATAATTATTGGGTGTTGAATTTTGTCAATTTTTTCTCCATCAATTGATAAGATCCTGTGATTTTTCTTTGTTAGTTTGTTAATTTGATGGATTACATTGACTGGTTTTTGAATATTGATCCAGCCTTGCATCCCTGGAATAAACTGGGTCATTTTTCAAAATTCCTTTTGTATTAGATATTGCTGTCCTAGTTAATCCTAGAAGCTTCTCTGTAGCCTTCTACAGAGTAGTTCCATGAAGGAGTAGGAGTATGTTTTAGGCAACATTGTATTCCCATCCTATGAGCACTGTGCCTAGCACACAGTGGGTGCCCAATAAGGGTTTGTGCAATGGATGTTTGAATAGCTGAGCATATAATCTGATAAGAAGAAAATCTTGTGGTTTTGACATTCTGTATGACTATTCTGAATATTACTTGCTTGCTTTATTTTACTGATGTATTTATGAACTTCCACTTGAGGGTACAGTAAATAATATCTAAGTTGAATTTTTAAAATTTTGAAAACTAGGTCTAAGTCCTAAACAAAAGTTTTCAGAAATGAAGCATAATTTCTTTGTCTTTTTTTTTTTTCACTTCTGCCTTAGTCATTCTGGACAAAAGAACAAGGAAACCAAGAACAAAATAAACCCTGTTTTTCGTAGTCATTCATGCATTAAAATTGCACATGCCATAAATAATTACCTTTATTGTAGCACCTAGAAATACTTCATGATTCGGAATAGAATAGAAAGCATTACAAATTGTTGCTGTTGCTGGGCATATCATTCGAATGGCATCAGAGAAAAACATTTCAAAATATAAATAAGAAGCTTTGCTAATATACTGTTTTGATTGTTTTTCTTTATAAAAATGAAGATTATGTGACTTCTCTGGGGAGACTTGTGGCTTCTCGGTATGCCAATGGCCTGTTTCCGCAGTTCTACAGAGCAGAAGATGGCAGAGTGTACAATGTAAGTCAGAGTCCCCTCAATGCACAGGTCCCATGACATTATGCTGAGCACATCGGGGAGTGGACTATTGGGAGAGGCTCGTGCTGCTTGGCTGAGCTGAGGCCTTATTAGGTGGGGGTTTTCTTCTGGCAGGGGTAGAATGATGAAAGGCATGGCCAAGGAGCTGGGGAAGAAGACCCTTGACTCATTAGAGATAAGCCCAGAAAGCTCTTGACTAGAGTTGAAAACCTTTGCATATCAACACTTTGTTTTGCCTTGAAGATAAGAGAAAAAGGAAATATGGCAGAAATTAGCTGAAAGCCAAGAGCTAGCTGCCATTATCTAAGAGAAGCACTGGAAACAGGGGGCAGCTTTTGCAGGGAGAAGAGGAGAGAGGAAGAGGCAGCTCGGACTGGAGTCCTTTGTTCCCAGCAATTCAGTACTTGACTCTCGTGCCCGCCCCTGTCCAGCCCTATGCAGACCCTGGCCCACCACATGGAGTTCACAATCTGTTGGAGATACACATCCCATCACATCCTTTTATAGATATTTGTTCATGTCAATGTAGTACCACCTGGACCATTGTCTCTTAATGTTAAAAAAAATTTAAATTACTTTTTAAACTAAGCCTGGTCCTAAGCAACAGTGTGTGTGGAATCTTGAAGTTTGGTGTGCAGATATTTTTTATCTGAACCACATTAAAATCAGAACTATTAAAAACATTTGTCCCTTTACCAACTAAGTCCATCTCCACATCCCCTGTGGTCTGGTCCCACCCTGGTTGCTGTGTTGTCACAGGAGCTGTGAATGCTGGAGAGGGTGTTAGGAGTTCTGTCCTAAGATCTGTGAGAAGTGATGCTGGAGCTTGAGGAATTGAGATTGAAGAGATACATGCAATGGGGAAGGAAAGGAGTTTAAGGAACCAAAGCACAAAAATGGAGAATTGCATAGTGGTTCTGAAAGCACATTTTTCTTAACATTTTGGGTGTTTGGGGGTTGTTAAAGTTTAACAAAAAAGTACCAGATTCTCTTTTAAAATTTGATCATCACAGAATAGGTCACAATATTTTCTTATCCCTTTTTCTGTCTTCTACCTCCCTATCCCTAAAAGGCCTTGCATGGTTGTGCCTGATGTATGTGTAGGATAGTTTATTTGTATCCACAAGAAATTGCCTGGAAGTCCCTGTCACCTTTCACGGGCAGCCACTAGAGGTGCTGGTGGCAGCTATGGGTGATCAGGTGGTCCAGATACAAGGGAACCTGGCCTGAGAGAGGGAGGAAACAAGCACAAAGGTCACCAGCAGGAGGATGAGTAGCTGGGACAGCATCCCTGAGAAGAAGCCAGGCAGATGTGCTGGCATGCTTAGAAACATTTTCAGAAATTTTTTTGGCATGTTGTACTTAGGAAAACATTTTAGTGAGACTTAGTTTTTTCCATCTGCCTTTGATGGTCTCTCTTTTCTTAGGCCTAATTTCTTAAAGGTGCCCCTGGGCATTTTTTTGATAAAGATAATCTGTAACTGGAAAGATAAAACACAATCTGGAAACATTTTTTTTTAAGAGGTCTATATTTTGAATAGATCACATCATCATCTTTTCTTCTGTTAGGGAATCATTCAACAGGTTTTTCATTTGAAAGATGGGAACACTTCCTCCTGGATTATGCAGGGTTTGGGAGGTCATTTACAAAATTGTTATTAATGCATAGTTCTTGATGGCAGCGTTATGGTTCAGATGACTTATTTTGATGCTGTTTTATTTTTTTTGTTTTTTACTTTTATTTTCATTAAGCTGACAGCTAAGTCAGAACTGATCTATCAGTTTGTGGAATATTTAACACGAGCTGTGGAAAGCTACAAGCAGCGGATGGACTGGCTCACCAGCAGAAGCCGGCAGATTTTTGGTGTCATCTTGGAACAGTGCATCACCGTAGTGTTGGATTTTGGTGGCATTCTGGAGGGGGAGCTTGATCTGTGCCGAGATGCTTTAATAATGATCCTCCAGGAGCAGGTGGCTCACATAACCAAGTTCAATATCATATGGTGAGTTCCCACAGGAAAGGGCCATTTTAGTGAAACTTCATAGTAATTTGCACATATTTGGAGTTAAGTAGCATAGCTAACATAGTTAGCTCTATGGTGAGGGAGGGAGTATTATCTTGTAATTTCCTAGAATATATAATTTTAGCAGAAATCCTACAATAAATAAATACTAAGAAACTTTTATCTGCTTTGTACAGAGCATCTTAGTTTTCACAATCCATGGGAAAGTTAAAATATAAGAATATGAATTATATTGAATATATATTTAAGACCATAAATTTATTCACTTATTTTAGATTTTAGCTTGGGTAATGAATTCAAAGGTCACAAATTTAGCAGACTGAATTTGTAACTCAAGTTGACCTCCCATGTAAGTTGACCCCTTTAACTAGAACAACAGGTGGCTGGCTTTTTAGAATTTCCCATATTTCAGAGTTTTCACAATCAATTATTTATGGATTCTTGGATTCAAGAGGATTTGGACCTCAACACTAACTTCTCATCTGGAACAGTGGTTGCATGTCCCTGACAAGAAACATCTGAATGTGTGGGAAAGATTTACCTAATTGAGTTTTTCTTTAAAAAAAAAATTTTTTTTTCTTTACTGTCCAACCATCTTTGGGGAAAGAGTTTTTCTTTTCTAAATCAAATACTTTCAACTAAATGATATCTTTGGGAGCAATGCCTAATTGTGTTCTATCCCACATTCCTATTTCTGCCACAAATACATTATTGAAGGAATTTAAGTGCTTAAATCTGCAAAGTTTTGCTTTCTTAGAAATGTTTGCTATAATATATGTCTCTCAGCCAGATCCTCTACCCAGAGAAGCCATGCAGAAGGACACAACCGTGAGCCAACTCTGCCTCTGGAGGTGGGCTATGAGGGCAAGCAAGCCGATTTATTTGCAATTGTCAACACAGGGATAAATTCAGATGGTTCTTCTTTTTTGAAATTGGGGGTTTCCATCAGTCATTCCCAAGCCAAACTAAATAACCAGATTTTCTCAGGATTTAAATAGTAATACTCTGCTGAACTCAAAACAATGCCATCTTTGATCCCCCCCACAAAAAAAAGTAACTGGTGGGAATCTTTTAGGACAATGAAAACAATGTCATGAAAGCATTAGAAATAAAATTTTAGAGTAATCAAACTGCTGGTGATTTGCAAATCTTAATACCATGAATTCTTATAAATTTGCTATTAATAGAAGACAGTTACATATAAGCCTGCCTGTTTATGAAAATAACTTTCCTTGATATTTTTAAAGCACTTGTTAATGTTTACATTTTTGAGATTTTTGTTTCTCATGTAAATATTGTTTTTCCTAGTCAGTACAGCGTAGGGAAGATAATGGTGCTTTGGGAACCTGTGTTAAACAGTTTTCCCATTTTGTTGGCAGCTTCACAGGGCTGCGAGCTGTTTCCTTTCTGTTTTGGTTCAGGAGATGGGCGCTGGGCAGCTTGTTGCTCATGGCTGTGAGATCAAGGGCTGACAACCCCCAGTAGCATTGATCACCACCCAGTGACTGCTCCGTGCGATTCCTTTCAGGGTGTCTCAGGAGCCTGTGAAATGGCAGGAAAATGCTACTCCTGTGACAGAACAATCCATAGCCTCTGCCATCAGCTGGGTTGAGAAACTGACTGCTAAGCTGACTTTGAGTGAGGTTAGCCGCCTGGACGCTCTGCTGGAAGCTGGGAAGGACAAAACTGTAAGTGTGTGTCCATGCCTGGTCCCACGTCATGGAGGTGGCTTCAGGCTTAGCTCTTCATACTTGCTATCTTCACACTGCCTTTCAGCTGATTCCACAGGGACCCCATCATTGGCCTTGAAGACCCCCATAATAAGTCATAATCCTTTTCACCTCTGAATTTGGAACCTCAAATTGAGAAATGGATTACAAGCCTCAGTTGGGGATGAAAGTAGCAGCTTTGGTGATGACAGAGCTGGACCAACCAAAATGAGACTCCCAAATACCTGTCCCCTGATCCTGGCTAGGCTCCCTCTGCGGGGTGATGGGGGTGACAGAACAGACCCTCATTTAGCTTGTGCCAGGAGAGCCAAGTGCTACTCACACCCGCTGAGCATGGAGAAAGGACAGGAATGGGGCCGCAGTTGTGCATCTCCGACACATTCATTCCACTCTCACTCTCTTGCCAATTAGATAAATCAATCCTTCTCTTGTAGGGAGGAGAGAGAGGTTGGAAGACCCCTCATAGAATGCTAAGGATGAGGAAATAGGGTTCCCCAACATCCATGTTCTGGATCTTTCCCAGTTCCTCTTTTTCACAGATGGCTCTATCATGTGCTTTCCAAGGTTAAGTATATCCAAGCTGATGAGCTTGTCCATGTTGGAATGTTTATGTATTGACATATGCCTTTTGATAGGGACCTTTTGGAAATAAAGCTTTACTTGGAAGAAGCAATTAAGTGGTGGTATTTTATATCTCTTTCAGCCATAGGGTCTGTGTTTCTGTGTGTGGCTCTAGTGACGGGGCAGTGGCAAGCGAGTGGGGAAGTACTCTGCGCAGGTGGGGTGCTTTGGCCAGCCTCGACTCCCCAGATGGGGGCAGGTCTGTTTGTCTTTGGATACAGATACTTAATACTTATTTCCTTCCTCCACTCTGGAAGCCTGAGGCTTCTCCAGGTTCCAAGCTTTACCTGGCTGTATTTAGAATTCTTTTCTTGGGGAAAGAGGCCATGTGCTGGCACCTTGAAAGATAGCCCCCAGTGGTCACTGGCCTGTGTTTATCAATACTGAGGGTGAAGGTTTGAAATTGGAAACACACAGTTTTTCCTCCTGAAGCCAAAGGAACAAATGTTTTCCATTAAGGAAGAACCTAATACAAGTTACTCTGTTCTTTGGCCCTTCAAGTTAGTTTTAAAATCTGTAAAATTTCAAGTGTCTGGACACCTTAATAATCACTCAAGAAATGGAACATTTCCCAGGCTCTTGAATGTGTGTGCCTGTGTATGTGACATGGCTGTTTTCTTTCTCTGTCTGTTAACCTGGCTATTGTGGTCATAACTGACTCTGGCCACCTGATGTGACTGCAAGATCTCCCTGTGACCTTGCTTTTCTGTTTCCCTTCCCTCTGGTTTGTGCCTTTCCTTTCTCTGGGGTTCATCCTTTCATCCCTAGCCCAGAAAGTAAGGAACAATTCAGTGAGTCCCAGGGAAGTTCTATAGAAGAGGATGAACCAAGAAAGAAGTTCCCAGGCACTGATCATCAAATGCAACCTTGAGAAAAGACTGAAAAGCTTTTGAGAAGAGACTGTGGGGTATATGCAGAGACTGCAAAGCATGCACAGACTGCTGTGTCCTTCCATCTACAGCCTCTATCTAGGGCTGGTCCCAAGGAGAATTCCAGTAAATGCAATTGTCTCGTGCAAAAATACCATACCCTGTGTTTTATGGGGAGTAAAAAAAGAGCACCCGTGTATGTGTGTTGGTGCGGCAGGGAATGGGCTCCCATAAAACCTTCTTCTCTGCTCTGTATCATCTTACTGGTGATAATCTGCTTTGGGTTAGCATCTCCCTCCATGAGTGGGTCCTGAGGGGAGCCAAGAAAGTGAGTATTGTGTCCAAAAATTAACATGCAAGTCTGGTTTTGTACCAAGTCCACACAAGGAGTAAGGGCTGAATGCTCTTGATTGTGGTGACAGAGGATGCCCAGAGGCCACCGGCCTCTTCCAGGACTGTGCTTTGTCCCCATGGTAAGTCAGAAAGGGATCCAGGACAGAGGTGAGCGTTGGAGTCTGAGAGGAGCCCAAGCAGAGTGTGGTGTCTGTTTACACCCTGGCTCTACTCATAGCACTTGAAGAGCACTATTGATGGATGAACTATTATTGTATTCTGTGAAAAAAGGACCTGGCTCATGAAAGGGCAGCATGGGGTGTACGAGGAAGTGTTTGGTGGCTGAGGGGGGTTGGCATCCACAGAGCCCAGGTGTGTTGCAGCAGAGGGTTTCTGCTCTTTAGTGTTCTCTGGTCCCAGGACATATGTCTTTTGGAAGTTAGTAGCTTCCTGGGCCTTACAAGGAGGGGTGGTGTACCAGGAGGCCCCGGGAGGCCTGCCGACGCGGATGACAGAGAAGGCTGTTTATCTGAAGCCCTCAGACTAAGCTGCCTGAGAAGACTACTGAGGGGCTTCGCTTCCCTTCCGGGACAAGGCCACCTGCCCAGAAGACACCTGCATTTCTGTTTTCATTCTCTCAGCTTCTCATCCATCCACTCGACAGGCATACATCTGTTTAGTTTCTTGTTTCTTTTTGTCATATTCACTGGGAGACCAAGTGTGTGAATTGAAGACAGATCCATATGATTCCACAAGGAGCCTTCGCTGCTGGGCTGTAAGGCCTGGCCTGTCAGTCCGTGAAACTGGCAGCTGATTTATTTCCTTGTAGTGGTTCAGACAGGCATCACATCTTTTTATTTTTGTGTCTCTGATGCCTAGCAAGGACTCTATAAATGTTTGTTGAACATTGAAGAAAGGGAAAGAAAATAGTATTGGTATTCTTGAGTTTGGGGGCTAAACATGGGTCCATTGGGTTTCCATCCCCAAATTATTGCACAGATTTGAGTTTTTTTAATTTTTTTTTTGAGACAGAGTCTCACTGTGTTGCCCAGGCTAGAGTGCCGTGGCGTTAGCCTAGCTCACAGCAACCTCAAACTCCTGGACTCAAGCGATCCTCCTGCCTCAGCCTCCCGAGTAGCTGGGACTACAGGCATGCACCACCATGCCCGGCTAATTTTTTTTTCTATATATTTTTAGTTGTCTGATTAATTTCTTTCTATTTTTAGTAGAGACGGGGTCTCGCTCTTGCTCAGGCTGGTTTCGAACTCCTGAGCTCAAACAATCCGCCCGCCTCAGCCTCCCAGAGAGCTAGGATTACAGGCATGAGCCACCGTGCCCGGCCTGAGTTTTTTTAATTTAAGGGAGGTGGTCTGTGTGGGACCAGCAGGTGAATTTGCTGAGGCATGTAGGACTCTGTCAGGGGTGGTAGATGGGGACAGGAACGCTGAAGCCTGGGAGGCCAGAAAGTCGGTGGTGGTCAAGGATGTTAAGAAGGATCTGACAAGTGAACTAGGTTAATACCATGGGAAATGGTCGCCACCAACGAGGGTATCTGAAAATCAAATCAGGCTGCACCAGGTGAGGGCTCCCACAGGCACAGGGAGGACCTGGAGATTAGATCCCAAGGTCTGGAGTTGGCCAAAAACTGTTGCAGTGTTCAAAGTCGTATGAAGAAAAAGACAATTTTTTCTAGAGCCTTGAAGCGTGAAGAATGTTATATCTAGAAGCTTTGGGGATAGGAGCTCAGGCTTCTGACAAGCGGGAGCAGAGGGCAGCCAGAGTAGAAACAGCCACTCCTGGTCTGTTTCTTTTTTTGCCCCCAGAGCAGCAGCTGGGAAGACATCAAGGACTCTTTGGCTGGGCAGAATGCAGGTCACTGTGTGAAGGTGCAGAATAAATGGCCCAGATAGAATAAGATATTTCATGTGAAAACATAAAGGCTCCACCCTACTTTATGTAGTATGAAGTGTCAAGATCTTTTGACTCACTCTAAAGAAGCTGAATGGAACCCATGTGTTGTTCTATCGAAATCAGTGCAAATCAGCATGTGAGCAAATGCTGGTTGATGAGGAAGCTGCTTCTGGTCTGGATGCTGCTACTGACCTTCCACACTGGTCTGTGCCCCTATGGAGCTCCAAGGTACTGGCCAAGGGGTGAGGATTCCCGTAAGGATATTCCCTTAAGCCGAGCAACCTCCTGGACCCAACTTTTGGTCAGTGGTGCTGATATCAGGAGTAGAGGACAGAACCCTTGGGTGGCAGGGGAGCCGCAGAAGTGCAAACAGTGCCACGTTCTCTGCCCTGTAATCTTGCTTTTCCAGTTCTAGGACTCAAGTTCTCTCCAGCAATGAATCAGCCCTGCCATGAATCAACACAGCGTAGCAGTGGAGAGAGCATGGGCAGAATTTTGGGGTCAGGCAGCCTGGGCTTAGTAACTCCAAGACCAAATCAATTATCCTTTCCAAGCCTCAGTTTCTTCATCTGTATACTGGGCATAATAACAATAATCCATAGCTACAGGACTGTTGTGAGCATTGAATAAAATAATTCATTTTAGCTTATCCCAAATAGCTGAAAATCCTAAAGCCATTTTGCTTTAAGAAGCATTTTCCCAATTTGTGGGGCGATAGGAATAGCTAGTATATTTATTCTTCCTCTCTGTTTTCCTAAGTGCCATTATGTGAGCAGACAGGAGAAGCAGAAAGGCTGTGCACAGGAGAGTGAGGGGTGTCTGTGGTCTCAATGTAAAGCATGTCCCAGGAAATCTGTAGCACAGATAACCTAGAATTGACTGGGGACATATGCACTTAAGAAGCTGAGTAATGAACTTAATGAATAGTGAGTAACACCACAGCCTTAGTAAAGGAAAGGAAATCCTGACTCACTGTTGGCTACAGCAATTTTCAGTTTGATGAAATCGCGAGGGAAAAACATTTCTTCACAAGGATTTCAGATTCTTGGGTTATTCCCAGAGCAAAGAAGCTGAGTTTACATGACGTGCAATGGAGATGTCATGGTGTCAGGAGCTGCTGGCAACTACATGGAGATGTGTGTCCTCACCTCCCTGTTGATCTAACGAACTGCAAAAAATACGCCATGTCTGTTCCTCTGTCTTGGGCCGTGTGTCATTTTAGATCCTTATAACAGGATGAAACTGTCCCCATGCTAAACTCGAACACTAACACAGCTGGAAAACTCTAGTAAATAACTGTGCAGCTAAGAAGGAACCTTTTCAATAAATCTTACACAAGGAATATACAATACCAGGAAAAGAATGAAACATAATACATTTGCTGGAAGAACAATATTGGTTGCCTAATAAGTAATCCAGAATACACTGTTTCTTCCTTTTTTCAGTGTTTCCTGACTCCCAGATTACTAACTGAAACAGACATTTTCAACATTCCTCAGTCTTCACTTCCCAATAGGTACTTTTTATGATCAGGGAGCTGGTGTTGCAAGATCTGAAAGAAAGAGGCCTGGTGGTGGGTAGAGGGATAGGGGTGGGGTGCCTAGTTGGAGGAGGGTGTTGCTGAAGAGGTCTGGTCTCAGCCCCCACTCCAGTCTTCTCCTAAAACCCATCCTGGGCCCTTAGCCCATGCCCCCACCTGCCCCCTTGGCCACACAGTCTGCCCCTGACCAACTGGGAACCAAGCACGAGGCCACCTGTCTCAGCCAGCTTAAGGCCCAAGTTTGGTGTTGAGATGAGGCCATTTATTGACTATATTCAACTAACATGGGTTTGAGATTAGAGGAGGGGAAGGGTCATGAATCCCAAAGGGAGGGTGACATCTATATATCCCCTAAAACACAGTATGTTTGCTGGGGCTCTTTCCCCAGTTATCTGTGGAGACAATCCCTCAGGACATTTTAGGGACAGGTTGAGAAGATATGTATTCCTGGCTCTCCTTTGGTTTTTTACGTTCTGAGATTTATATAAATACATGCACAAGTGTAAGTTGTCTTGTTTAAACTCCATTACGAAGAATAAACCACATTATCTCCCATGAAGAAACTGCAGTGAGATCACTTGCCTGAGGTTACAGAGCTCATTAGTGTCAGGGAGACAGACTCTGTGGAAGCACAGTCCTGGGGAAGGGCCAGAGCAGTGGAGTCGAGGTTGGGGAGGGGCAGACAATTGTCACAGGGCTCCCTTGGGTGGGTTTTACATCTCTCTAAATTAAGCAGGCAGCACTTCTTAGGAACTGTCTTCTACGTGGGTGAGATATGCATCTCCCAGAATCAATCACTGGTTTAAGATTGTGTGTGTGTGTGTGTGTGTGTGTGTGTGTGTGTGTGTGTGTGTGTATTCTGACACAGGGGATGGTTTGGTTCTTCTGTTCATGGTTCTCTTGTTCTTTTCATGGCCTAACATGACCGGGGGAGCCAGGCCCAGTAGGAGGCCTGGCTCCTGACCAGCGGTGTGAAGTCAGGACAGCCTCACCAACCTGGGCATGTGATTCCCTGGTGAGATGAGACCAGAGGATGAACCAGCTGGGAATATGCCCTCCTTTCCACATTCTGCCTCAGACTGAGGATGGATAAGTTTGCATTGTAGAATTCTGGCACTGCCACAGGAAATGGCTAATAAGCTTCCTGCCCACAGTGGCAATGCCAATAGTGCCTTCATTTCTTGACTTGAAAATAACTGCTCCTAACCTGTATAATGTATTTGTGGGCCCAGAGGAAGCTCTTCCAAATCTGCCAACCATATTCTTCCCATGTGATACCTGAGACTGCAGCCACTGCTAGGAGACTTTCTTGGCACCAGGCCCTGACTACCTCAATTCCTGACTTGGGCTCTGACATCCTTACAAAATTCTGAGCAGCGCTGCTATTCCTTCTGCCCATTTTTTTTAAAGAGCCGGTACAAAGTGAGGGTATGTCAGGGAGATAAACCATTGGTCCCACTCTTTTGCAGATTGAATCCATTTACTACTTTGTGGTGGGGGACGTTCCTGAGGAATCCAAGGAGCTTCTCCTCCAGGGGACTTTGGAGATCCCATATCCAGTCTACACAGTGTCCTTCAATGCCAGAGGAGAAGGCACTATAGCTTTCCTAAAGGAGCTGAGTGCCAAGACCCACAGCAGGTAGGCAGAAAATATGCTCTTTAGTGACAGCAAGTGTGTCACCTGCTTATGTAGGATCAACGGTGGGTCTTAGTTTCTTTGTGGTCTTCTTAACCAATCTGTTGCTGGGTTCTCCCTCTCTTTCCAGTATAGTCTTTAGTCTCTATGCACCTTATCTTCTTTATCCTGTATTTGTCACACCTCTTAATTTTCTGTAATTCTGATGCTTTGCTGACCCAGGAGACACTGCCCCTCCCAGGGCTAGCCATTCCTAGAGATAGCAAATGACTCACCTGGAGTGCACTTTCATATGCAAGCCAACTAATCCAGAGTCCACACTCCCAGTCCAGGCTCTTATACTCAGAACCACTACCCTCCGCCCTAATCACCCTGGGGCACTGACATTATTCAGATTAGCCAATCCTAAACCTGCTTACCCCTGCCTCGCCTCTTCCTTCCCTTGGAAACCACCTTTTCCCCTCACTCCCTCTGCCTCCCAGCTGGCCCTGTGTGGCATGACATGCCCCTCCTCTTGGGAACTTTCTTAGTCTGCTTGGGCTGCCCTAACAAATCATCACAGGCTAGTTGGCTTAAACAACAGATATTTATTTCTTGCAGTTCTAGAAGCTGAGAAGTACAAGATTAAAGCCAATTTGATTTCTGGTGAGGGTACTCTTCCTGCCTTACAGGCAGCTGTGTTCTCATTGTGTCCTCACTTGTTGAGGGGAGAGAGAGAGAGAGAGAGAGAGCGAGCCAGAGAGAGAGAGAGCGAGCATGTGTGAGTGTGCACATGTGAGACAGAGAGCTCTGGTGCCTCTTCCTCCTTCCTCTTCTCACAAGGTCACACTAATCCTGTCAGATCAGAGCCCCACCCTATGATCTCCCTATAGGCTCTATCTGCAAGTACAGTCACATGGGGAATTTGGGCTTCAACACAGAAATTGTTTAGCAGGGGATGTGCAATTCAGTCCATACCAGGAACTGTGAGTAATAAACTGTCTTTTCAGTGGCAATAGTCTCCTGATCTGTTGGCCTCACCATACCTGAATAATAATAAAACCTACATTTAAAACATATACTCCTCCCTTGGTGTGTGTGTGTGTGTGTGTGTGTTTGTGTGTGTGTAAGTATGTGTAAGTTTAGGTCCCTTGTGGAGAGAGACCAGCTACTTCTGTGGTTACAAGGAGAATTACGAAGTCCTTTCCTAAGTTAGCCTATGTGAAATGGGTACAATGCCTGCCCAGAGCACTTGTTCTTTTTTAAACAAATTTTTTATTGATGTATGATATTTGTACATGTGATATTTTGCTACATGCGTAGTATGTATAATGATCAAGTCACACTATTTAGGATATCCATTCCTTTGAGCATTTATTGTTTCTATATGCTGAGAACATTTCGAGTCCTCTCTTCTAGCTATTTTGAAATATACAATACATTGTTGTTAACTACATCAGTCACCCTATTCTGCTATTGAACACTAGAACTTATTCCTTCCATCTAACTGTATGTTTGTGCCCGTCACCCAACCTCTCCTCATCCCTCATCATCCCCCACACCCACACCCTTCCCAGCCTCTGATATTTTTCATCCTACTCTCTCCCTCCATGAGGTCAACTTTTTTAGCTTCTGCATATGAGTAAGAATATACAATATTTATCTTTCTGTGCTTGGTTTATTTCACTTAACACAATGACCTCCAGTTCCATCCATGTTGCTGCAAATGACAGGATTTCATTCTTTTTTGTGGCTGAATAGTGTTCCATTATATATATACACCACATTTTTTTTATTCATTCATTGAGGAACACTTAGGTTGATTCCACATCTTTGCTATTGTGAATAGTGTTGCAATGAACATAGGGGTACAAATAGGTCTTTGACATACTGATTTCCTTTCCTTTGTATAGATACCCAGTAGTGGGATTGCTGGATTGTATGGTAGTTCTATTTTAGTTTTTTGAGAAATTTCCATACTGTTTTCCATAATGGCTGTACTAATTTACATTCCCACTAACAGTGTATGAATGAATTCCCTTTTCTCTGTATCCTTGCCAATATTTGTTGTTTTGTGTTTTTTTGATAGTAGCCGTGCTAAATGGGGTAAGATATTATCTTGTCCTTAAATGTAGGTGCCCATCACAATAACCTGGGGAACTTATTAATGATGCAGAGGCAGGGCTTCAATGGGCAGGCTGATTCCACGTGATAGAGGGAGCCTGGAAATATGCATTTTTCCCATCACTTTGCAAAACTGCCAGACGGCTTGATTGAAATGCAGATTCTATGGCCACAGCCACAGAGATTCTGATTTTCAGGGTCTGATTAGGCCAGGAAGGTTTTTTTTTTTTTTCTCCCAGACAGAGTCTCACTGTGCTGCCCTAGATGGAATGCAGTGGCATCATTGTAGCTCACTACAACCTAGGAATTTTCATTTTTAAAAGGAACTCAGGATTCTGAGGGCCGCTGCTCTGGCTGCTCTTAAAACATTTTGAAATCTTTTAATATCAGGTACTTGACTTCCATTCTGGGTTCCCGAGACCCCCCCAAAATACAGAAGGGGGCTCCTTGCCCAGCCTTCGCTAGTGGAGCGAGAAAAAGGTATTTGGCTGGGCCACCTCTCTTGCTTGTTCTTGGCTGAGCTCATCTGGAGCGTGCTAGAGCCCAGGGAGTAATTTATCATGAGAGAAGCTGCAGTCCAACTACTGACTTTTATGCTGTGTTCTGCATGAAGGTGGATTTTTCAGAAAAGGACGATGTGTAGATGTGCCCTCTTGTCCATGCTCTGGGCTCTGGCAGGTAAACCTAACCCACAACCAGTGGTGCTCCTGCCCCTCTACTCCTTGCCCAGACACTCCATGGCTCCAGGTTGGCCTCTTGGTGCCCCTTCAGCTGCGGACCCCTGCTAGAGGGCAGTTATTAACCACTGGAAGCGGCGAGTCCTAAGTGTCTCAGCTGGCAGGAGGCTGCCTCGGCCTAGTGACGCTCCGCTTGGAAACTGGCTTCCCAGTACTTGAGGCTGTGTCTGGATAGATCCACCAGACCAGGCACAATGCTGTACTCTGAAGACTCTCCTAACAGCCTGTGCTAATGATGAGTTGCTTCTGCACAAGTGAGGCTATATCAGCCAGAGGAAACTTCTGTCCTGTTTTCTTTCCTAATCTGAAGAACAGATCAGAGAGTGGAAAGTCCTGGGCACCAAAGGCCTTGGCACTCAGGGCTTGGTGCCTTCCAGGACAAACTTCAACTATCTCCCCTCCTTGCCCTGCAAGGAGGTTATGAGGGAAGGAGGCTAGCCATTTCTGCTCTGGCCTAAGCTCCTACAGGAGGCAGGCATAACCAAGCTAAGAGTCCATTGGCTTTAGAAGGGACTGCTGGAATGAGGCTGACTTGTCCACTGCCATCAATTCATTATCCCAATCTTACCTGAAACCCTTTAGAAATAGGACTGAGGCTCTCCATAGCCCAGGTGAGGCCCCCAGATCTCTCCCACCATTTGTTTGTCCACCTGTCCATGCCAAGCAGTGCTTCAGGATTTTCTTTGAATTGAGTGTGAGGCAACAGGTAGAGGTGGAACTCTCGCAGCACTGGAGGAGCCTTACTTAAGACCTCTGCCAATCTGAAAGAAATGTCCTGCTGTTACTGACCTTTCAGATTCCCATTAAGGGGCTTCAAGGGTGTGACTTAGCCCATCACCCTGTGCACTACACCAGTGCTTGTCAAACTTTCATGTGCCTGTGAGTCCCCTGGGAATCTCGTTAAAGTGCATGCTCTGACTCCGCAGGTCCTGGTGGGGACTGGGAGTGTGTGCTCCTAACCAGCTCCCAGGTGCTGCCACTATTGCTCCTTGGACCATACTTTGAGAAGGCAGGCCCAGAAACTTGCCCACACAGGAATTCTTTTCGTTAACACTTAAGCTTCAATCCTGGGGAAGTGTGTCTTTGCTGAGTTAAGGCTGACTGAAGCCCGTCAGCAACAGGCAAATGAGCCAAGCTGCCCGTGTCAGGACTTGCCACACTGAGCCCACAGAGCTGATGGCACTGTTGGGGCCCTTCATTAAACGCCTGGCTTGTCAAAACTGCATTGACATGATGGAACACTGGGAACAAAAGAATGAATATAAGCATAGAGTATCAGTTTCCCAGGATCAAAAAATACCATTTGGTTGAGCTAATTAACCTCTAATGAAAAGACAAGTTATCAGTTAAAATCCCAAACCATTCACAATTCTTGGTCCTCTTCTGCCTCCCTATCGTTTACTTGTGGGAATTGACACGGTACAGGGAAAACAGTCAACATATCTAAGATACTCTGCACTACAGAAGAGTAAATTCATAATCTGAGGAAAACGAGCAGGACGCACAATTCCCTCCATACTCACCTAATGTTAAACACATCTTCATGTTTCAGGTTCCATGCATTCGCCGAAAGAACAGAGGGTGTGTTATTTCCTGCATTCCCCACAAAAGATGGTGACGGTGTGACGACTTGGAATTCAAGGAAACTGAAAGGAAAACTCCCTCCAGGTACCTGGAATCCAAAAGAAGCAGTGTAATTTTATCCTTAATAACCTCAGATGATCTGTCTCATTAGGAAAGAAAGTACTAGGTAGGGACTACTCCTGTCTTTTGTATTATTAATGTGGTACAAAGGCAGAGTTAATGGATATTAATGGTGAATTTCCCAACCTAGCAACCAGGCATAAGTTTATTACCCAGTGAAATGGCCTAAGTGATACGTGTTTACTGACTTGGGAACCTTCTGGAGACGTGGCCTTGGGCATGTCAACGCTGAGTTAATTTCTGGCAAGGCAGAGCTTCTCTGCTGTACAGGTTAGCTGCGAGACTGCCATGAGGGCACCTGTGGTTCTTGGTGGGGGGGCGGGGGGAGGTTCTGCTGTCCCCCCTGTGATGAAAGCAGTACTTGTGGATGCGGTGTGTGGGAGTGACCTGCCCCTTGTGAGGACTGGGGCTGCACAGGAACCTTTATGGAGGCTGAATGAACCTCCCCTTTCACTCATCGAATGTGATCAGAGGGCTTAACAAGCACAGGGAATGAAGTCACAAAACCAGCAAGAAATAAGGCTGCAATTCAGAAAATGGTAGAAGGTTACCCAGAGAGCCAAAGGATGGGAGTTTCTTTTGGGCTGATGAAATTGCAAAGTGCCAAAGACGCTGAATAAACACCACTGAGAAAAGGAGGGAAGGAAGCTCTTGTTGGATCATTGGATGATGTGGCACAGTGGGTAGTTAGAAGTCTAAGAAATCCCACCCCCACCTCCACCCTCCTTTGTAGTTATTAAACAGATTTATGGCTTCACTGTAAAGTAAGAACTACTCTTTGGGGATAGGGGAGAAGCCACAGCATACAGCTGCTTGAAAGATTCTTGTTTACATAAGCACATTGGAAAGGCTCCCAGGAGAGGGTGCTGGAAGTAGGAGGCAGTTTCATTGCCAGGCTGGGATGTCAGATGGAGATAAAGGCAGGGGGTGGGTCAGGAGCCTGTTCCTGACACAGACCTTGTAGATTCAAATCCTTAGTGCCCAAAGCAGAGCAGGGGAGAGATTCCAGTAGAGCTCACTGGGGGCACTGCTTCAGGTCACTGACACCTTTGTTGTGATCATGAAGTGGATATCTGAGAGAATTTGGGAAAATACCAATTGATAAGCCAGATGGATGCTGATCTAAGAAAAAATTAATGCAGGATGTATGCCATGCCTAGTCAAAGTAATTTACAAGCTTTAGCCTAGTGGGAAATGATTTAATCAGGGTAAAGAATATGAGATGTCACCAGCTCCCCACGGTATGCCAATTATGGTAAATGGGGTTTAATTTTGGCCTCTGCATTCCTTGGCAACTTAGTTATAAAGGGAAACATAAACTACACAGCTTACATTTTCAACAACTACTATCTTCCCAACCCTGTGTTGCAAATAAATTAAATTATGGATAAAAACATTTTTCTTAGAATAAAAGGCTCAGTGTGGCTTGCCATTCTAAACCCATTTCAGTGATCACATGGTCTGAATTTGAGGGGAGAGTCCCAAATCCTAAATATGTGATCTTATCTCTATTACCCATCACAATGTCCCAGAAATGCCAACATTTCAAAGCCTATCTCTCCCACTCAAAAACCGCCCAGAAATCTTGACGTACTATTTTGGTTTGGAAGATGTGTGATTTCCAATGTCACCTGGGCCTCAGGGACAGTTCTCTTACCTTTTCCTGATCAGTTTTCTCTCCTCATTAACACATCAACCATTTCTAGCACTTATCATTGTCAGCTTCCTCAGGCTGCCCTCTAGTTTTCAGGGGGTGTGCCTCCTTATGAGATTATTTTGCCTCCTGTTGTATAGAAAATAGACACTCTCGAGTAGGGTTGGAAAAGCATAGCTCAGAAAATTTACCTGGCAATCCGAAAGGAATTTTCTACTATTATTGATTTTTTAGATTCTAGATAATTGGCTTTCAGGGTACGACTTAACATTACCCTATGTTCTGTACTGTTGCAAAAAAACTATAGTCAAGATAAAGAATAATTTTAAAAATTGCAGTAAGTTATATATACACAACCTAAAGTTTATCATCTTAACCATTTTTAAGTGTACAGTTTAGTAGCATTAAGCATATGCACATCATTGTGCAACCATCATCACCATGCATCACCAGAACTCTTTTTATCTTCCCAAACTGCAACTCTGTACCAATTAGACAATAACTCCTCATTTCAGTCTGTTCATGCTGCTATAGCAAAATATACCCCACTGGGTAATTTGTAAAAACAAACTTATTTCTCACAGTTGTGGAGGTTGGGAAGTCCAATATTAAGGCACCATCTGAGTAGTGTTTGATGAAGGCTCACTCTCTGCTTCCAGGATGGCACCTTGTTGCTGCGTTCTCTGGAGGGGAGGAACAGTGTGTGCTCACATGGCGGAAGGGATGGAAAGGCAAAAAAGGACAAACTGAGCACTCCCTTCCACTTCTTTTATAAGAGCACTAACTAATCCCTTCATGAAGGCAGAGCCCTCATGACTTAATCACTTCTCAAAAGGCCCAAGCTCTTAAAGGGCGAAAGGTTTATATGATTTGAAGAGAAACCAGAATATGAGGCCCAACCTCTTAATACTGGTAAATTAGGTATTAGGTTCCAGCATATGAATTTTGGGGGAGACACATCTGTTCAAATCATAGCACTCTATTTCCCTGTCCCCCAGCCCCTGGCAACCCCCATTATATTTTCTGTGTCTTTGCATTTGACTACTCTAGGCACCTCATAAACAAGTGGAATTATACAGTATCTGTCCTTCTGTGACTGGCTTATTTCACTTAGCATAATGTCCTCGATATTCACCCAAGTCGTACCTTATCTTAGAATTTCCTTCCTTTTTCAGGCTGAATAATATTCCATTGTATGTGTAGACCACATTTTGTTTATCCATTCATCCACCAATGAACATTTGAGTTCCTTCCACCTTTTGGCTATTGCGAATAATGTTATGAACATGGGTATTCAAATATCTCTCTGAGACCCTGCTTTCCATTCTTCTGGGTATAAACCCAGAATAGAATTTCTGGGTCATATATGGTGATTCTATTTTTAATTTTCTTGAGGAGCCTCCATACTGTTTTCCATAGTGGCTACACTGTTTTACATTTTTACAAACACTACGTAATTGTTCTACACCCCGGCCAAAACTTATTTTCTGTATTTTTATAGTAGCCATCCTAATGAATATGAGGTGGTATATCATTGTGGTTTTAATTTACATTTCCCTAAGATTTGGAGCATCTTTTCATGTGCCTGTTGAAATAAATGATATTTTGATGCAATATTTTTATTTTTTTAATTTTTTAAATACTTTTTTAAATTTCAGAATATTACGGGGGTACAAAGGTTTAGATTACGTATTTTTCTTTTACACTGCCCGGGTCAGAGCTATAAGCATGTCCATCCCCCAGACAGTGTGCACTGCACCCATCAGGTGTGAATATACCCATCCCCTCCTCTCCCTCCCACCTGCCCGATACCCGATAAATGTTACTTCCATATGGGCACATAAGTGTTGATCCATTAGTACCAATTTGATGGTGAGTATATGTGGTGCTTGTTGTTCCATTCTTGTGATACTTCACTTAGTATAATGGGTTCCAGCTCCAACCAGGGTAATACAAGAAGTGCTAATTCACCATTGTTTTTTGCGGCTGAGTAGTACTCCACAGTATATATATACCACACTTTATTAATCCACTCATGGATTGATGGGCACTTGAGTTGTTTCCACATCTTTGCAATTGTGAATTGTGCTGCTATAAACATTCGAGTGCAGATGTCTTTATCACAGAATGCCTTTTTTCCCTTTGGGTAGATGCCCAGTAGTGCGATTGCTCAATCAAATGGTAGTTATACTTTTAGTTCTTTGAGGTATCTCCATATTACTTTCCATAGAAGTTGTACTAGTTTGCAGTCCCACCAGCAGTGTATGAGTGTTCCTGTCTCTCCGCATCCACGCCAACATTTGTTGTTTCTAGTTGTTAGTCCTTTATCAGATATATAGCATGCAAATATTTTCTCCTATTCTGTATGTTGTCTGTCTGATCTAGCGATAGTTTCTTTGGCTGTGCAGAAGCTTTTTAATTTGATCAGGTCCCATTTATTTATTTTTGTCGTTGCTGTGATTGCTTTTGGGGTCTCCTTCATAAATTCTTTGCCTAGGCCGATGTCTATTATTAGAGTTTTTCCAACATTTTCTTCTAGAATTCTTATGGTTTCATGCCTTAGGTTCAAGCCTGTTATCCATCATGAGTTGATTTTTGTGAGAGGTGCGATGTGTGGATCCTGTTTCAGTCTTCTACATGTGGCTATCCAGTTTTCTCAGCGCCATTTATTGAATAGGGATTCTTTTCTCCAGTGTATGTTTTTGTCTGCTTTGTCAAAGATCAGATGGCTGTATGAGGGTGGTTTTATATCTGGGTTCTCATTCCTGTTCCATTGGTCTCTGTCTCTGTTCTTGTGCCAGTACCATGCTATTTTGGTTACTATAGCCTTGTAGTATAGCTTGAAGTCGGGTAAATTGATGCCTCCCAATGTGTTCTTTTTGCTTAAGGTTGCTTTAGCTATACAGGGTCTTCTCTGGTTCCATACGAAGTGTAGAATTATTTTTTATAGATCTGAAAAAAATGATGCAATATTTTAAAAATCAAAATTAATGTAAAAAATCCATGATGATCACAATATCACAATTTTAAATGAAGACAGGTTCCAACAGTGCTATGTGAATCTATATTGGAGCCTGAGGCAAGAGGAAAAATGATATGCCTCTATATACATGTTTTTATTTATTTTTAATGACTAATTTGTTATTAAATAGCTAAAAATATTGAAAAATTAAAAAGTATATTAAAACACATTATTTTAAGTTTAAATTTTTGGGAATATGTTCATATCTCTTGCTAAAGTTTTTATTCATCAAACATACTTTCAAAGTATCCTCTCATTTGTTATAACTTAAAATTATCAATTGAAAAT